GCTAAAGATGCAGAAACCTTTTTTTAACGCAACCGATGCCACATTAAAAAAGGTCCGTAAAATGCACTTGCTATAAGCAGTCTTCTATCTTAATCTTATCAGTTGTGATAAGAGAATATTACATCAAGAAAATTACATCAAGGTGAAATACAATAGGATAAACGAAAAGGGACCCATTTTTGACAAATCTTTACGTCACATCATCTACATAAGCAAATTTGGCCCGTTGAAAAAGAATTTTTCTACGAGAAGTCTTTACCTTAAGAAAACTAGTATTAAGATGACTTTTTGTGCAGGATTAAGTTCTCATTTTTTTTCCTGCTTCTGCCATAGCAAAGTTTTCATAGGAAACATAGATTAACGGTTTGTTTCACTTTGGGCTTGTGAATAATTTATGATTGCATAAATGAATGGTCCGTGAGAGGATGTGACTACTGTTTATATGAAGAATGGTTGCAATTCAGTATAACTCGCTAATTGGGGAATCGTATGCTTACTTTCTCGGAAAAATCAATTGAAAGGGATTTTACGGACAGTTGAGACTAGGGAGACTAGTTTTAATCATCCTGGACGCTTGTTGTGTGATTTTCAGCATCATTTAAATGTGAGACATCACAGAGAATGCATACGTGATGATGATTATTTTAGCAAAGTATACAATATACAATGCAGGTGCTCCCAAAGTATTGATTTTAAATCTGAGTGCTCGATCGTTTGCTGATGGTATAATTGACGGTTGAGATTGGAGTCTTCGAATTTCACTACTTCGCGTATAGAGAAAATAAAGTAACTGTAAGATTTCAATTTTCCAATCATACCGATTGAAAATGTAGGGAAACGTGTAGGGGAAAAAAAGACCCGGAGCTATATTTTTTTTAAAGATGGTTTAAACTGAGTTGCGAAATAATTTAAAACAGGCTAATGTTCAAATTCGTGAATAATTCACAAATGTCGCTTTGACAGAGTGAAACTCTTTCTGCCCAAAGACGGAAGTTCTCTATGTATAGGGTTTAACTCAAACTACAGCATGAAAATTAGGCAGTGTGTCCTATTCAAAATTAAAAACTTGCCTACTCGGAAACTGCATCGAGAAAGAAACCATTCATTCTATTCTGAAAACGTCTGAGGCTCGATTGAGGTCAGAGGTTTGAGGTTCGCTTCCTCAGTCATGGGGACTCAGAATTTTTTGTTTGTCCTACGCTCGTGACAAGACGAAAAGACATCTTTCTCTATTTCTTTACTGAGCTCAAAACTTACCATCTCTCTTATTCTATTTCAAAACTGTTTATATTTTACATAACATGGATCTCCGGAGGATGTATGCTCAAGATCCTCGGAGGTCATTTCGTGTCGACGTCTTCGACAGCAAGGAAGACTATCGAGACAATTTTGATGAAACTTGTAAGGCACAGAAATGATTCAAATAACTGGTTCCGAGTAGATTAAAGATACGTTTTTCAAGAGACTCCGCATACTAACCTTGAGAAGCAGTTGCCTCGAGGAGCAGATTAGGCCAAATAATTGAAAGCGAACAAATAAAACCTAGAAACATGGCTTAAAAGGATATAAGTCCACAAAAGTATTGAGTTAATGAAAAACCAACTGTTATTGAAACTATGATAAAGCTCATGCGTGCCGATTTCAACTGACCAATCAGATAACTTTTATGACGGCGGCTGCTGCTCACATTTCTTCTGTATATATCACAAGTTGATATGTTACGTGAGGTCTGTTAAACTTTAATGATTGTTGCTTCCACTTTGATAACTGTTGAAGTAAACCTTCGATAACGTTATTAACCCAGTAAACAACTAGGATCACTTGCAAAATCCTACACAACGTTTCGTCCTTACTTGGTCTTAAAATCATTGGTTGATGGCTTGCGCGCGAGTACTTTTTCTATCGTCGCCTTGAGTTTTTATTTGCTCCTTTCCATATTTGATCGAATAGTTTTTTAAATACACAGTACCATAGCTACCAGAAACATAACCTCTGCTAAACAATTAGATTACGAGACCGAGACTTCTATCGAGCATAACAACTGGTAAGGGAGAGGCCCGAATTAGGTATCACATGTAATAACGATAATAATGATAATAATAAAAGTAATAATAATTATTATTACAATAGCAGTAATAATAAAAAAATAATGATGATAATGGTTTACTCAATGGAGCCCACGAGATGGCTCGTCACCTATCAAAACTATCTAGAATCTTACAGTTACATGAAATAGAATGAATTGAAACTGATAGCAATTGCAAAATCAAATTAACTAAATGAAAATAAGGTGCCTATAACGCATCAAAACGCCTTTAAAAATATTAGTAAATAATAACCTAGTTGTCCTAATATAAAACTACAATTTGTTCAAATCTTAACAACGAGACAGACCCATGCTTATATTTTATTTTATATGTAATCACAAACTGTTTGGCTCCTTACTCTAATTACTTTCTATTACAGAATAGATAGCGAGAAGCGTAGCTAATCATATTGCAGCAATTATAATTGAACGCTACCAGATTTATGCTAAATTCACATATACCTTGGTAAACACTGAGTGCCTTAATTTTCACCCTCTTTTAAGTTATGAAATCTTCCATATCGAATTAGAGGCATCACATTCGTAGTATTTGAGAAATGAATCGTTGATTTCATACAAAGTTTGAAAGAAGAGTATCGTGACGGTTAAAGCCTCAGAAAGTGCGCTTAAATTAAACAGAAAAAAGGTAAAACAATGAAATGAAGGTTAGAAGTTTTTGACTTGAACTACCGTGTAATTTTCATCACTGCTGACTTTGTTAAAACCTAAACGTAACGCTCACAGTTAAAGGTCTATCGATCCAAATGATGGAAAGTGAAAAATGAATTATTGATTGAGATAAAACTGTAGCTAAAATGAATCATTGATTGAATAAAAAAGCAATTTTTTACATAGTTAATTTTTTAAATTCGTTAACTTATGTGTTGCGTCGGGGATTATTTGAAAAATGAAGCGGATCGTCAACTATAACCAGGTTAATTAAAAGTATATGAAGTGTAACGGCAAATTTTGTCGAAACACTGACGTTTGAAGCCAAGCCATTCATCTATGCTTCGAGAATCAAGCCTCGAAAAGTCAGCGTTTTCAAATTTCTGACGGTGGTAGTCTACATTTTCACTAACCTTCTGCCTTGAGAATCAGTTCAGACCAGATAAATAAAACAGAATAAAAAAAAGAAACATTCGCGGCGATGGCCCGTGAATCGACCATCGAGGTTTTTTAGGCGAAAATATCTAAAACTGTCGTTTCTCCATCAAAACAAACTGACTCTGCTGTCGTTAAAACATCTCCTTAATCTCATTGATTTTTATTGACTGATCAATCTGGCTAGATTATCCTACGGCAGGTGCTAACTACGTTTTTGTATATGCCAACTCTCCCGGGTGACCAAAAACCACCAGATAAAAGGAAGTTTGGATCAGTTGCCCACAAAAAAATAAGATTTAAGTTCCATATGTTCCAAAATTCCAAAATCATCTGGCTTCTTTTGCTTGTATTACGGCTTCTGGCTTCATTTTCTTGCGTGATGGAAGTTGTTCGTTGCAAACAAATAGAAGAGAGTTTCTTCTTTGTTACCCCTATATAAGCGAGAGTCTGATTGGATGCGTATTCAACCACTTGAAGTCCCTGATAGATGGATCCGCGTTTTTCCCGCGAAATTACTCGGTGGGGGTAGGGGGTCGTATTGGCAAACTCGATCGGGGGGGGAGGGGGGGGCGTGTGCTGGTCCGAAAAAAAATCTCCAGATTTGAGATCCCCAGAGGTTGGTGTCTCTGCGATTTGATAATTTTACAAACAAACCCAGTGATTAAAGATTACTATTTCATTTCGAATGTATCTCAAAGCAAGTGTATCAACTCAAAAACACGCCAATATCAAAGGATTTTTAAAAAGCGATGGGCATTTCACGCAGAGGAAGATGAAGCAAATGTTTTCTTGCTTGAAAATATTGTTTCAGCTTTCGAAGTGTAAATAGCAAAGAATGCATTTATCAACGAAAAATTTAACGAAGAGTAGAAGACAGATGGGAAAGTAACTGGCCAACTATTCTTCAAGATGTCACCTAAAATTGTTCGGCGCGTGAACCTTAGAATTACACAGCTTTAATGCATTCTGGTTCTGCA